GCACAAGCTTTCATGAACTGTATCACATGTCATCAGAATAATACCACAAGCTTCTGTGAGTTATAGCTTACTTTATCAGATGCTGTGAAAACTTGTGAGATAGAGAGATAGCCAGATAATACGGTTAGTTTATAAGGTGCAAATCTATCCTGCCTTCTACTTGATTTCTGACTAACACAATTAACTATGTCTCTCTTCTTATGTGTTATGCCTATGTAGTGAGAATAGATCCAGAGAAAATATTGGGCAGATGTTGAACAGTAACAATGCTGTACACTTAGGTTATGCCAAAACATTGCTTCTGCTGAGAGAGCAGCAATTCTTCCAGTAGAAATAACGAGCATGTAACCATTGATTCAGTTTCTCCTGGAGGAAACATAACCCCCCTGGGATAAAAATTTCTGGGTGTCAACTTGAAATATCTCTCTTGAGAGAAACTCTCTGAATGATAGTGTTTCTGAACACCTGTACTGCTCCCTCTCCTGGAAAGATTTCCAGCAGTGGAAACTTCTCAAAAAATTCAGAGAAATTTCCACTTCTAGAAATGAAAATCTTCTTGAGGTTACAGCAACACCTTGTGCTGTCTCTTGTCCTACTAATGGAGCATACGTTTTGTGGTGACAGACCTTTTCTCCCTTCACTGTACCACAACCAGGCTGGAAGTGACCATTTGCACATTTATATAATATTTTTCATATTACAGAATACATGCATCATTTAAGTAACTTTTCTGATTACTGTTCATGGAATGTCATGCTGTGCCCAGTTGTGTATATTCTTCCCTTAAGAAAAACATGCCTCTATGTGTTATAAGATGCTTATAAGAATTAACTGTACAGTCACTTATAGTAATAATATACTTCTTCCTAAATTTCCAAATGTGTGCATTCTCAAACTGGACGTAGAAAGAGAATTTGCCCTCATACCTGAGCTCCATAAACAAAAAGCATTTCTTGATATCAGCATTTCTTGATAGTTGTCAGATATCTTTGTGCTTCCCTCCACACACTTTGATTTTTTTTCACTAGTTGTTAAGTTCTTTAATATTTAGCCTTGAAGCCACCTCGGCCCATGAGAAAGCCTTCTGGATTTATACCAGAACAAGAAGCATACCTAGGTTTAGATATCATCCAGCTTCTCCTTGCACAAAAGCCTTTTCTTAATTACATTAATTTTGAAAGCATTTTCCTAATGTTAAAAAGTAGTACAATGGTAAATTAACTGATTACATTAAAGTAGGTCATTCTCTGGAAGTAACATGAATTGAGATGAAATTAAAGAAAACATAAGAGACAACAATCACTCTCATACCTCATTCAACTGAAGTTTGTGGTTGTAACTCATTCTGATGCAATCTGTTTTCTTAGATTTATTATGTTTTTGTTGAAACTTTTGCTATATCAACATTAGCAAATATTTGGGAATTGTACACAATTAATAATTATTCATCAAGATATGAATTTAAAATTAGCTTGATGACAATGGATTAAGTAGAAGTTTTTCAGGGTGGGGGATTGTACATAAGGTTCAATTCTTGGAAGACTAATTTAATGTCGGTACTACTAGTAATATAGATTTATTCAAGTTGTCATTGTTGAGAATATGCATATTTGGAGAATGTTAAGCATCCAAAGACAATTAGCAGCATATTACCTAGAGTAGTAAGGTAAAATAGTTTTTGGACAGCTGAACACTATGTCAGAATCAGTCAGTATATAATATATTAGAAAAATGGGTCAACTACAGTGTACTTCATTTCACTGTTAGGACCTCAAATATGATTAACCAGAGTGGAAACAGTATCAGAAACTGTAATAGCAGCTTATAATGATTCAACAGAGTAACAATATTTTTAATATAAAGAAAAATGAGAATTTAAAAATGCATTGTAATAAGCTTTAGGAATTTAATGGAAAATCTCTTCTTTTCTTTCAGACAAGTGAGCAAAGCAGATATCAGCTGATCAAGGAAAATGGCATTACCCTGTCTATAAAGGTAATGGTTGACAATTATTTCATCCCTGGTCTTCTTTAGTTAGACAGGCTTTCTGGTAATCACAGTTTTAATTCTTTGTATTTAACCATAATCATAGGATCTAATGCCGCTAGTTAAGTTCACTATGGTTTAATTTTTCTATGTTAATAGTATCTTAATGTTCACAGTGATCACTGGTATCTGATCACCAGTTTACTATTGTTACTACATCATGGACCTAGTTATTTCTTTATATGTTTTCTACAAGGAAAACCCTGGCATTCAAAATGCTACAGTGCAGTATGTGCTGGAAACTCTGACTTTTGCATAGCAACCAGTGTCTTGCTTTCTTCATATTTTAGCATAAATAAATCCATGCTAGTTTGTTCTTGATATAATGTTTCTTAGCTTTTTCATGCCAGCATCTGTAAAAACACAAACAAACACAAACACAGTAATGCCTTTCTGAAATCAAGTGATTAAACAGTACTGCTCCTAAGCAAGCAGCATTTTTAAAAAGTCCTGTTCATGTCCAACATACATTACAGATAATAGAGATCTCCAGTAGAGATGTAATGGACATTAAAGATATTTGACTGCCAGCTTCACATTGGAGATGCCAGTCACAAATCCAGGGCATAGCATACCAGGATAAATCTAGGCAGACACATTTGTTCTACAGACTGATAGCTTCAATGATTGCCTGTGATGATGCATATGGATACTGTAATATCTGATAAATGCAATCTAAAACTTTAAATATATAACTATCACTAAGTTTCTCAAACCTGGTGCATGATAGAGTGAGACTTATTTTTAAATCGAATTCTTTATGGGCTACAACATAACTAGGAAACTTCCCAAAAAACTTCAGTTCTTTGACTGAAGGTAAATCAATCTAAACAGATAAAACTACAAAGAAGGAGACATAAATAAAGAAATATCATTCTTATTATGATGATCTAGAAGCAAACTAGATGAGCCAACCATAATCCATGAAGATTCTGTTTTCAGGGTCAGATAGTTAAGTTCTAGAAATTCAGAGAGATGCTCAGTCAGATCTTTTGAGATTGTCAGAACCTGTTGATTGGTTTAAAATTTTTTACTAATCATTTATCTGTATTTGTAGTAGGCCTGGGCTAAGTGGCTAGTATTCACTTTGGATTTGAATTCGGCTGATTCAGGGGACAGTGTTTCGATTCAGTGATTCAAATTACTGTTCTGAATTGATTCAGCTGAATCTGATTTGGATATTCAGCTCCCGCCCCCTTACTCACCAGCTCTGAGTGTGGCTGCAGCTCCCTGCTGCAGCCACCGAGGACTGTCCGAATCATCAAAGCTCTCCAAATCTTTTCCAAAGATTTGGAGAGCTTTGAATAGATTTGGACCTTTTAATTGGTCACCTGATTTGATTTGGATTCAGAGATTCAGCCACCGAATCTGGCTGAATCTCCTCCAAATCAAACCACCACCTGAAGCTTTGCACAGCCCTAATCTTTAGATGCCTAAATGCTTTAAAAATTCTGATCTTGGCCTTTAGGGGCATGTCCACATGAGCACACATGTGCCTCTTGCCCCACCACAAACCCCTTTGAGGTGGGACAACAGGCATGTGAGGGAAAAAAAAAAATGTTCCCCACACTGTAAACTTGCAGCGTGGGGAGAAAATTTGACCCCTGGATATCCAGGGGTCTAAAAAAAAGCAAAGTATAAAAAAGCAGGGGAGGGCAACCAGAAGCTGGGTCCTCCACAGAGATGCTCTGGCTGCCAGAGCATCTCTGTTTGGCCCCTAGCCCTGGTGCTGAAACAAACTGCCACCCAGGCTGCATCTTTCAGCACCAGGGCTCTGTTGCCAGTAAATAAGGGGTCGGGGGGCTGGAGGA